AGTGCAACACTAAATGACTCCCTTGACATTCACAAGAGGGCGTACGTTAGTGTTACTACTATACCAAATGATAATTTGTGCTGTTATACTGTAAACAATTGTAGGACTTATTAGAACAGCATTAAAGCAGAAAGGAAAAGGGCTCCAAATCTTATCTAGTACTTCGCAGCAACACTGGTTTATTTCCATCCAATGGTAACAAGAACTGCATTTATACAGTAAGTGAAGAATCTAATTTCACAGAGGAATCACTGCGGTTTGTGTCTTAACTTGGAATACTGCAGGGCAACAGTTAAATACAGTTTAATGCTGACAACTGCGTCGTTTCCAACCACCGTCTCAAATGCACAAAGCTGTGATGTGACTTAGTTTTCATAAAGATGCACAGCTACTTTCACACAAAGGTCAGGTTACACACGCGATTGCACTGTACTGCTTTGAATCAGAACCTCGGGTGTTTTGAACCAATGCCTCAAATCAAGAGCATTGAGTTTCTTTGATTTCTTCTCATTTGGAATTCCTTAATGTTGTTTCACTGGTTTCAAAAGTCTTGTTCGCTATTAGCCAAATTTTATTTCTAAGTCACACAGAATAAAGTTCATCATGTAGTGACCTGAACCCTTACAGGACAGAACCAAGCTTAAAACAAACATGCACGCATGCAAGGCAGTACAGCGCTTCAACTAAAAGGATGGGCACGTGTTTCAGTGATGTATAATTCAGTCACCACACCCATGCTCGTTTTCAGTACCTGCTAGATACTTCATTTCTGATGGAGAATTCCAAGAAAGTAGGAAAAAAAAGCAGAAGCGAAGATTACTAAAGTTCCAAGTTGTCAAAGCACTCCAGCAGCTACAGAGCTAAGTGTCAAAACCCATCGCCCTGTCTTCCCTTGTTGTAACACCTGGAAAACACCCACTTCGCTACACAGCTTACTCAGCGTTTTTCAGGGGCAAAAAAGCTGCTAAGGAAGATGACTGTCTTCACACCCAGGCTATTCCTCAGTTTTGGTGGGGTTTTTTTGTTTAATGACAGAGGAACTCTGTCTCCCTCCAAGCTGCACACCTGGCAAGCTGGTATCAAGTTCCAGCCACAGCATAGGAAGCTCCCACCAGGGGTAAAAAAAACCAACCTACTGTCTTGGGAATCAGTCACTTAAAACCAGGATAAAGCAGGCATTCTGCCTTATTTCTATTTGCACACTGTCCTTACTGCCTATACCACCACACATAAATAACACCATAAATAACAGCAACTTGGTGGAGTAAGCATTAGGTATTCAGGTAGTCTGAGTAACAAGTGTTAATAATGTCTAATTTGCATATTGCAAGGCTGAGTTACAAGATTAGAGCCATACTGTTAGACTTACAAAAGTTTAACTTTGGTTCAAGTGACATGTAGGAAACAATCATTTAAGAAGCATTATTTCACATTCTACCAGCTAAGCTTGCAGCAGTGAGAAGCAAAACTAAGCTACTGAGCTGGTAAGAAGCTATACAACACCACACAGATTACCTTCTGTATCCAGTAGAACAGGTGAAAAAAATGGAAGAAAAACAATGTTATTCTGTTGAAGAATTTCTAATCAACATTTCAAAGGCAACACGCTCACTCCAGCTTACAGATATTCTCATCCTACCTTCTTGCCAGCACCAACATTTGCCTTGGCTGTGCCCCTGACTTTCTTCATCCTGTTCTTACGCTCCTTCCGCTGCTTCCTAGAAGTCTTCTTCTTTTCATACAAGCCATGCTATTAAAAAGCAGTTAAAGTTGCATTTAACTTTGTTTCACTGATAGTGATGTCTGAATTTAAGTTTTACTATTTCTGGACTTTGCAAGTACTGTTTGAATTTGAAATATTAGCCCAGTAGTGAGACAAGTTCACTAGTTAATGAATGATTCAGCACAGAATATAAGCGCTACAGTAGCATACGTCTCAGTCTCATCTCTTATGCTTCTCGAAGACCTTTAATAGTGGTCAGTCATCTATTACTGCT